AAAATTTGAAAATGCAGGTGCTTTATAAAATATAAAATCTCTGAAATAATATAAACGCTTTTAGTTCTGTCGAAATACTCGTACGCAGTTTCTGGGCCAGAACAGCATGAACCAGTGTGACCAGTGAACCTATTGTCTAATATTTAAACTACAATTTTTGCTCATAAGTTCTACTCACAATACTGCTATGAATTTTGTTTAAACCTTTTTTTATCTTCAATTTTGTTATTCCTTTCGTACTTTTCTCTTAGATTCTGATGGAATGATGCTATATAAAAATTTAAATATACGTACTTACAAGAAGCCACTTAACTAATATAGTTTAAAATTAACATTAATTTTCCTTGTCCTCAGTTTCATAAACAAAGAAAAAAGGTAGAGTAGAGGCAAGTGTAATGCTGTCTAAATAAACCTTTTGTTCTAAATTTACATCTGTGCACAAGGGGTTTGCACCTCGATCCATTCAACAAACTACTCTTCATGCACTGCACATTCGGTCTAATTTCCCTTTCATGAACACCGTTTATGTATCCTTCTCGAGCAAACTTGCCGTCAAGTTTGCAAGCGAACTGGGGCGTTAAAACCACTTCTGATAAAATAAATAAGCAGAAATGAATTCAAGTGTGTAACGAAACACCGATTTGAAAATGTGAAAAGTTTGAATTTTAATGAAATTGTGTGTAATACTAGGACTAGGTTCTGCCAGCGTGACCTACCCTAAACTCCTCGTTTTACAACCGTCTGTGAGCATTTCCTGAGATTGCATAGATTCTACCCAAAAAAAGCACTCAAACCTGAATTACATCGTCCGATTTTAATTAAAGAAAGTAAGTTTAAATCTGCGTACATTAAGTGCGAGATTACGGAACGTTGTTTTCATTCCTGAACCGGTCCAAAAACAAAGAGTGAATTTGTTTTTCGCATAATAAATTTTTTTCGTATAAATTATGGGACTGTTATTTCCTTTAGAATATTCTCCGAGAGATAGCGAGGCTCGGCCCGTTCGTGGAAATAATTCAAGCCGACACTCTTGACCGAAAGGAGTGTAATATTTTGTATGGTGTAGACGTGCATAACTAAAATTATTACATAATGTTTACTAATTTCGTCTCATAACGGCGCTCACGAAAAAATGCGAACGAATTATAATGGGAGGAACTTCTGAATTCATTATTTTTTTCGCTCGAGATACATTTTTCAAGAGATAATGTGGCTATAAATTGCGGCAGGCAAATTAGCTGAGTCCAGATATTTGCTCTACTTAGAGGAGAAACATGTGGACTAGGGACGGGCCAAGGAGTTCGGATTTTTTCTTATTCTCCGCAACTACAAAACTATTCTATTTTTGGGTTCTCTTTTTACTTATCTCGCCGTAGCTAAGAGAAGTATTTTAATGAAGTCAAATTGACGAATGTTACTTCATACAGGACTACTGTTTTTTAAATGCTGAAGATATACTTATAATTAATTATTCTTATTTTCAATAAAATTTACATAATTTAGTGCCTAAGGAATGTATTTTTATATACTTATTTACCTATCACTACTTCCCGAATGGTGTTTTCTGTTAAATTAAATCTAATCCGGGTATATGCTTATCATTTTCATCCTTCCTCTATGTTCTTACTACCGGGCGAGCACCATAATTTGTCATTGTGTCATCCTTGGAAAGGATTTAGCATGTCGTTGATTAAACCACACTGATAAAAATTTCTAATAAAATAAGCATGACATTACAAGAAAAATTGTTATCAGAATAATTAATTTTCAATTAATTTAATAAAATTAATTATTCCTATGCCAATTTTTCCCTCTTCAGTAAATACTGACAATGTTGCCCACTTTATTGTAAGCACAAATTGTTGACGAGTGTTCGATAAATAGTATTCTTTAAATAGAGCCAGAAAAAAATCTGCAGGAGTAAGATCACAAGATCTCTGTAGCCAGACATTCTCTGTTTTCGACTAATGATCTGTCAAAAAATCCCCCTGTTATGGTTTTACCTTAATGCGCTGTAGCCCCGTCTTTTTGAAAATAACCTACTAACATTTCATCGTTGTGAAATTGTGGTATAAAATCTGTCAACATTAGTTAAATGTTTTCGAGAAGTTCTATACGATAATTACATTTCCTGTGCTAAATGCGCATATTTTAGGGTCTACTCCATTACCTATCTAACATTTTGTTATCTGCCACTTCCCCCGTCTTTGTACAGACGAAGTTTCTGGGAACTTTGTCACTCATGGTTGTAATGAGTTGCAAAAACGAAATTCTTTCCGGAATTCATCCCAAGTCGCTTGAATCGAATATTTCCACACATCGTTGACTTTCTGTCCAATAGAAATGCAATTTTTAGTGAATGGGCAATTAAAATTCTAAAAAGAACTGTTTTAATGTAAAGATTATTTCTCCATTAAATTTAAATCAAACAGAAAAATCATTGTTTAAGGACTGTAGTTTTTGCCTTCTTGGCAAATATTAGACACAACGATGACTCGATTACAAATTATATTGCTCGTCCGATGCAAAGTGATGAACTGTCACCTGATATAATTGTATCATAATTAAATATATTTTTTTCTATTTCTTACGGAACTTTTATATTCTTCAGCTTTCTTTTTCTTTCTTATACTTTGTTGTGTTGTATTCCAGAAATAAAGTATGGGGGCTTTTGAGGCAAAATCCGACCCTGTCTTGGCAAGAGCACACAGAACGTACGACAATGGCAAAAATAAAGCAGTCGGAATCGTTTTGCTGTCTAAAAGGTCCAACATTGCAGCGATTTGCTACTGACGTTTACCTAATACAGAAACTATATTACGTACTTAGAAATCATACATGGTCTGTATGGCCGATATAAAAGTCTTCTGTGCACGATGCACCGTGATCAATAATTCTCTTATGAAATTGCTCCAAGATGTTTTTGTCCGTTTATTATTTAGTACTTTTAATGTAACGAAACAGAAGTGATTATAAAGAAAAAGAAGTTTGTGTAAAAGCTACCGGTCACATCCGCTTCTAATCAATCAAATGGTCGGTACTTGCACATCAATCATTGACTGGAATACCAGCACAAAACGCCACATGTTAGTCCATTGCAAGTCTAATACAGATCCAAGAAATAAACAACGTTAAATAAATGTCACCAGTGAATAATAGCGGAGAAAATAATTAAAGGTAACATTAATGGGTGCGTTTAGCATGGTTTATGAATCGAAAATACATCAATAAGTTTACTATAAATAGCAATTATAAAATTATTTCTGTACCGTTAGGTAGCGCTGTTATTTACATAGAGCTTGCTTATTAACATTCCTTACTTTGTGCAAATGCTCCCAGTGATGAGATTAATTTTAAACATACGTTCTGAAAAATTTAAACAAATTTCCGCCCATCGTCAGAATGTAATTCTGCAGGTTAGTTTGCATTTTAATTTTTTTTCCATAAAAATTGAGGTACTTTCTATGAAAATGTATGTATAAGAGAAAAATTTCATTGTACTGTACAGCAGATTAGATCAATTTTATTTCATTTATGACTTTTGTGTGTTATCAATTACCATAACTTATAAAGTAACACATTTCGAAATAAACAATCATAATCGCAGACTACAGAACACACTTTCAAGTAATTAAGTAATTTTCTTAATCTTACTTATGTTACTAAATCAGCAATGATTATAAATTCTACTATGATATAAAAACTTTGCCTGTGTCATTAATTTAAAACATCTGGCTTATACAACTTGCCCTCCGATGTAACTCAAACTCTAATAAATGAATCTACTAATTTTTTTCGGTGTAGAAATTACTACTTTTTGTCTGAATCGAACTTTAGTACATTGTGTCACTTCTCTAAAATAAATAAAACTGTTAAATTTAAATGAGATGTCTTAGTAGATTACTAATTTTACACTTGTGTTGACTCCATGTGTAATAGAAAAAGATATTAACGTGTCTTCTATTAAAAATTCAAACACGCGTAAAATTGATTTTCTTTGCTTTCATGCATACTTCTAATTTTGTCAGGTTTATTTCATTCTGCTGAAGCTATTGTTAAGTGTAAATGGCTTTTTTTTATTAATAAATTTCAGTTAGGTCAAAGACCCTTTTTAAACTCTGGATATTGTTAAGGCCTATTTTATTATATTAAACTTCGAAACTTTCATTTCAATGATTTTACCCCAACTTTGACCTAAAACTTAGATTTTATTAAATCCGATAGGAGACAAACTGAGATAATTCCATCATCGAACCCAATCCCAAATCACTAAGGATTTTTGTAAATTGCTTTTGATAAAGACTCTGCTTCGAAGAATACCATCGATAAAAAGTTATAGAAAAAATGTATAAAAATAAATCGACACTGTAATAGTTACTGGACCTTTATCAAGTTCGAATAAGATTCGAAACCTTGTTAATGTTCCAATTTCATTCATAAAATAAAACACAAATTGATTTTTTTCCACTTCAGTTTCTCGCCGCGTATGGTTCTCGCCAGAGAAGTTTCCGAAATTTATTGAATTAAAGAGAATGAAACTAAAATACATTAATTCATGGCTGATGGCTTTATCTTGGATAATGGAACATTCCTTAAGTTAGGGAGAATGGAAGAATTATTGCTCAGGCGCCATTTACGAATAACACTTAAAACTTGTTTCGATTTTATCGAAATATCGCAAATAAATTAGAACTGTTTCAATTAAAGTATGTAAGTATTATGATCAATTAAATTTGAGGTCACCTTTGTTCGTAGAAACGACAGGTATTTGACACTCCGGAGTCACATTTTCTAGGTAGCGTAACGAATCTTACTATTATCATCAGTAACTTTGTAAAAACAAATCGTGTAGTCATTTAGAAGATTAATATTTTTTGTTTGCTGAATATCATGATATGTTTGATTATACTTAACTTGCATATCATTAGCATTATCTTATAATATAATCTTTGCTTGTGTATTTTATATTATATTACAACCGAAACCACTGAGCCGTCAAAATGAAACCTTTCGCTACTATTTACCGTGTTTTAGATTGGGGTTACTACAACATACAAATTTTTGCACCAATCAGTAGACAAAAGGTGCAAAATAGCTACAACTACTTTGAGTGCTCTTCTAACAAATATTTAATACTTACTGGTAAGGTTTAAACGTTGGCACATTAGAATTATATAAAAAAAAGATTTTTAGGCAACGTGGCTCTGACTTTAATAGGATTGATTCTTGTTATTATTGACTCATCCTCCCAAACTATAATTACATTTGAAAGATATTTATATTTATTTCCATTTTTTATTATGGCAGTTTCTTGGCTTTTCATGGTATTCACTCTATCTAGTCGTAGCAAATTGTTTCTAGAGGCATTTAGAATTTTAGATAAAGTCGATAAGTCACTGCATAAATTAAACTCAGAAATTTCTTTTAAAGGGTTGCGCACGTATACTCACTGTATATTCGGTTTTTTATCTCTAATTTTTATATTTCCCGTCTATAATAATTTTGTTATTTTCAAATCTGTGTTTACACAAATATCTGAATCGATAGCTTTTGGAACACCTGTACTCTTAATGTTAACGTTACTATATTTTTGGTCTTCTGTGTGTACCACAATATATAACAGATTTGTTCTAATTAATTACCACATTACACAAATAAATTCTGAAAAGTGTACCCAAGTTTATTTGCAGCAAAAAATACATTTTATGTCAAAACTGCATCAACAGTTGTGTAAAAGCGTGAAATGTGTTACAGAGAGCTCGGGATGTGTTCTTCTTGTTGTGTATTTCCTGTTCTTAGTTTTTTTCACTGTTGCAATGCTTATTTTCTCGGTATTCAGTGTAAGTTTAAAAAAATACAAATATGAAGTATATTTTTGGGCTTTACTAGCTACTAGTTGCACTTTTCTAGTAACAGTTATTATCGAGTTAGTAATTTCTGAGGTATGCTGCAGATTGTTTTATACTTTTTATTTGACTTTTCTTGTAGTCTAGAAAAACAGCTTTTATACTGTGTGAGTTTACCAGCAGCTATCCTATGGATCAAAATGTTCAAACAATGGTGAATAAAAAATCTATTAATTATATTTTTACCACTAACATTTTTAGAAAAATACTCTACTTCTGCAGTTATCACATGAGAAGATAGAATTTACTTTATGTGGGTTGTTTGATCTAAATTTGAATAAGCTATTACAGGTAAAGAAAATAAATTTTTCGTTAGTTTTATCATTTATTTTTTAGAGTATTGGAAGTACAATCACAGTGGTAATGTTTTTATTACAAGTCCAGAAAATTTCACATGACTGAATGGTAACAACATGTTAAAGTAGCAAATAGCAGTCAGCATAAATTAATTAGATTAAGATATGGCTAATTTGTGACAAAATTTAATAATATGCACGCGTAGACTTCTAAGGTACAATGATGGCGCATGTTTTGACAGATCTGATACAATTTCCCACTTCCAAATAAGTCTCAGTTCTCTTCAGTTTTACTAATTCATTTATTCAATGCACGTGTTAAGCGCAAACTTCTATATAGGTGTATCATCTGATTTCCATATCACGCAACCCATGTGGGACCATAGATTCTTCCTTCTATTTAATATGTATGCATACCATAGTGCCTAGGGACATAGATTTCTTAAAATCGCCATTTCAGAAATAAAATCTCTGAATTTTGATGGAATTGGACAAAACAACTTACTAATTGAATTACTTTAAATAGTTTAACAATAGAAACAGTGAAATTATAAATATGTACTCCACCAAACCTTATTATTCTTTGATCACAAAAATTTCCATTATATTCTACGTTATACGATTATTTTAGTAACTATACAAATTTTGTAATGTAACAATTTGTGTAGGTAAGGCCATTTATGCGTATTGTTTTGTTTTGTACATGACTGCAGAGTCACACGGTTTTCTTCTACAATATCAATGTGCTTTACACTTTTACTGAAATAAAACTGTAACTCCGTTTGTGTTTAGTTACTCTTGAAAAATAAAAATAATTCGGCTTTCTACAACACTGAGACAGTCCAGACGTCAAATATCGACGTAACAAGAAAAGTTGGACAACAAAATTGTTTTCTACTTTACCACATTAAATAGGTAATATTAAGGAATCAACTCACCAATGTGACAATTCAAAATATCTACAAAGACAGTTTAAGTTATTTTTATGAATCATAAAATTAGACAAAATTTGCCATGTACGGACAACCAATTGTCTTAGATTAAAATAAATACTTATTTAAGTTGACACAAAGTTTAAATTTAGATACGCAAACTACATTTAGGACCTAAAAGAAAGTAAACGCTTAACAATGCAAACCTTTTATTTACAAAATGGGTTGAAAATGTTATCCATCCTTTTCCAGACATAAGCGGATATGTCGTTTCATATTTTCAGAAATCCGGACCAGCATTTCAGGCGTAACAGTTTCAATTCTTGCAAGTTTTGCGGTCGATTTTTGTATACATTCTTGAGATACAAAAAAAAGAAAAAGTTCGGACTTGTACAATCTAGAAACCTGGATGGCCATAAACTTCTGGTAATTATTCTATTATCGTAAAATTCGTTTAAAAAGTTTAAAGTCTGATTTGCTGCATGATCAGTTGTATTGTTTACTGTTGGAAAAATCTATGAGCTATTCCTCATTTAGCTGTTCCACAAATGATGTAAGCATTTCATTGACATAGAAATGTGCATTTATGTTTTTATAAAAAAAATTGATCGACAGTTATTTCGACAGGACTTCCCTGGCCCCCGAAGTGCCGAAAAATTAAAAAATTTGATTTTGCGAATTTGTATTCAATAAAACAAATACGAGAGTATGCTAGTTTATAAAATTTATTATAAACATTTTTGAGGTGTCATGACATTGATAGGGAGATTGGGTAAATTTTGGTTAGAGTATTACGTTCTCGCTATTCTTAACATACATACAAAATACAATCGGTCCGGTAGTTTTGGAGATTATCTGCCTAATAAAAATCTGAACAGACGGTAGACAAACTGAGCCACGAGATATAATTTTTCATACTCTATAGGCCATGAAATGTCGAGAAAACATAAAAGTAATCAGTCGCCCCCGATAGACTCGATTACAATACTACGAAATAAAAATAAAGTTCGCAAAATTAAATTTTATAATTTTTGGAACATTTTGTATTTTATAGAACGTGTATTTCCACAACACCGAAATTACACAATATATTTGTCGACGCGTTTCGCCAGCCAGGTTGGCATTATCTATGCATGCTTACAATAACTTCAAAACGTCAAGATTTCAAAGTATTCAGTTCTGCAATTCTTGATTTAATCAATAACATAAATTGACTCAGTCATTAATTTTTTTCAGACATCCCGTATAAGCAAATTTAAAAAATATTAATGCAGTGATAAATCATAAGTATAGACTCATCATTTTTTCGGCAAAATTTTGTGGTGGCATCATCAAATTTTTAGGAAAATACATTTTGATCAAAAATTTACCATGCTTATGATAACTTCTCACGCATTCATTAATTTGTTTGAGTCACCCTGTATATGCAAATCCAAACAATATGAATGGAGTGATAAATCACAAGCACAGCCTCATCATATTTTGTACATTTTAGATAGGATTTATTCGGCAAACTTTTCAGCTGACGTCATCAATTTTTTGGAGGGGATAAGTAAATATGTTTTGATTAAAAAGTATGGTGCTTATCATAACTGTAAACCATCTGCAGGATTTCAGAGCATTGGGTTTTGCAGATTCCAAATTAAATTGCAAAATGTTGTTTCATACTTTTGATTTTTTTTTTTTAATCTGGACGTTTTGGATAAAAACTCAATTCGGAGTCATAAACTACATGTATGGGACTATGTTATTTTATACAATTTAAAACCCATTTACCATGTACAATTTTGAAGTGACGTCACCACATTATTGGTGGGGACGATTAGACAAATTTTGGTTAGTGTTTTACCATCTACATGATATTCCTAATATAAATACAAAATTTCATAATAATCGGTCCAGTACTTTCGGAGATTATCTGCCTAATAAAAATCCGGGACGGCAGACAGACAGACGGACAGACGGACAGACGGATAGACGGACAGACAGACGGAAACGGGAGACCTATTTCTTCGTCCTCTGGGGGTCATGAAAGGTCGAGAAAACGTAAAAGTAGAGAGTTTGCCAACGGACTCGATTACAATACTTCCTTTGCTTACGCTCGGGAAGTAAAAATTGGTATAACACCTCCTCTTCAAATAGTCACTCAAATACCAAGTTTAATTAGATGGGAAGGCACCTCAACAGACACGTGTGGACCAGCACCTCATATTTTGACAGTTCACGTAACCATCAAGATGAAACCAAGCTTCATCGGTGAAAAAAGTGATGTTTAAAATTTCGTCGTTGTTGAGATTGTCCAATTACAATAATTTGGTTGAAAATGTCGCGGTAAAATTGAGAGGTAAAGCTGAACTTTGTAGGGAAACATTTTCAAATCCTGTATCGTTTCTTACGATAGAGTTAATTGTTGGCTAAGCCTTCGAATTGATGTGGACGAAGATTCTCCCATAAGGTCTCTTACATTTTTTTGGTTTTCCACTACCCCACTACCGACTCTTCTTTCAACACTTCCGCTTTCCCTAAACGATTCTACACTTTTCTTTACAATTTTATGAACATCGTCGTAAGAATAACTAGCTACTTCTAGGGGAAATGTTCCCGAAATTCTTAAAAAGAAGCGGTGTACGAATATCACCGTTTACCGTTTTCAAGCTTACACCCATTTCTAAAAGAAAATTCAAGAAAAAAAGCTTTAATTTCGTGAGATAACATTATTATCGTGTGAATTTTACATTTAATAATTATTATTATTTTAATCTAAAACAAGCGTTTCTTCATGTATGGCCAATGTTGATTATGACTATTTCTTTTTCGATCGGTCGGGGTTAATCCCACAACAATTATGCAGATTTTCTTATCAAATCAATGCAGCTGTATTTAATTGAGGTAAACTAGTCGGCATTCGTCTGAGTAAGCTCAAGTGCCCAACACGTTTTAACTATTTCTCGGTAAACAGATTAAAGTTCTGCTGGTAAAAATATTAAAACGTATAGCGCATAGGGATCACATAAAGAAATTGAATCAAGACATCAGAACAAATTCTAAACGCCTTTGAAGTTTTCTTAATTCTCTAAACACATCAACTTCTATTCGCTCTGTCAACAACATCGATGATAACCTTATCTCAAATCCTCATGAAATTGTCGAGAATTTTGCAAATTATTTCTTCAATTCGGTTTTAAATAATAATAATACAAGCTACCATCCCACCTGCATTTATCAGATCCTAATATTTTGTACATTAAGAACAACATTAGTGGAGAGGATTTAATTCCTTTATATAACAGAATATATAGCCAAATTGCTAATACACTTTTCACAACATGGCTTTATGACTGGAAGATTCACTGCAACTAATTTAGTGACAATTCCACGTAAATACTTATGTGAATCATTGAATATTCACAAACAGGTTGATATCTTATACTTTGATTACTCTAAGGTCTTTGATAGCATAAATCATACTATACATACAAAATTGAACAACTTCCGATTTTCTAATGACACTCTTTGAGTCATACTTCAGAAATAGGCCGATTTTTGTACAGTACAGGAGGCACAGATCGTTAAAATTTCTACAAAAGTCGGGGGTACTCCAAGGCTTAGTCTTGGGACCATTATTGTTGTCTTTTCATAAATGATTTGACATCGCGGTTCCGTATACCATATTTACTCTATGTCGACGACTTAGAAATTTATCACCGTATTGACTCTATAGATAATTGCACTAAATTGCAGAGTGGCATCAATTATATTGTAGACTGGAATTCCAATAATATTCTGACTTTAAACAAAAATAAATGTTACATTTTATCTTCCTTTCGAAAATCTTCACATATTTTTGATTACTCTATTTCTACTATTATTATTAATTAATTATTTCATTACTTGCTGACGAATATCGGAAGCTTAAAATACTCTTCTTTACTTCAGTATTGTCATTACAAAATAGTACACCGAAATACCTAGCTTTAAATTCTGTAAATGAAAGCATTCTATGTCATGCAATTAGTAGAGCTAAAAGGTAATTTTCGCAATATCTGTACTTCTTATTCGTTTTAATTAGAGAAATAAACACCTCGTTGCTTTGCATAACAAGACGGACGATTCACATCTATTTAACTTAAAAGTTGTCAGCAACAACATCAATTTTCCTGCACTGAATTTGTGA